GCTTCGCCCCCCCCCCAAGAAAACTGCAGAGATTCAAAGTGCTCTGAAACCGTCTTTGGATGTCACCAAACCTGCAGCCCCCCGGGGGGAGCAGGGGGGCCGGGTCGGGGGGGCCAACGGGGTGCCACCCCCCCGACAGCAGCGGGGTGGGACAGAGCCCACTTAGATGAGCGAGATCCGCACGGGGATGCCGGGGGATTCGGTCCTTTGAGGAGAGTGCTGGCTGACGAGGTGCTCCACCACGGTGTGTTTGGACATGTGCTTCATCAGGTACGTCTCCTGCGGGGCAGAAGGACAGATGGTGAGCAGGGGGTTGGGGTGCTGGAGGGGCCGCGCCGCGCCGTGCCCCCAAAGCCCCTCACCGAGGTATAAGCGCGGCCGCACATGCTGCAGCAGTAAGCCTTGGCATGCTTGATGGCGTGCGCTGAGAGGTGGATCTGCAGCGAGGCCGAGTCCGTGTAGGCCCGGTAGCAATTCGGGCACTTGTAGGGCTTGTCCTTGTTGTGCTGTCGCTGGTGAGACTGCCAGAGAGCAGCATGGGGTGGGTTGTTAGGGGGGGTGCGGGGCTGGGAGAGCCCGGAGCCCCCCCTGCTTTGCCCCCTGTGGGGTTCAGCACTCTGTGCCCCCCTCCCCGCCGTCACCCAGGAGCTGCTGACCTGGAGGTTGGAGAGTTGTGTGAATGCCTTCTCGCAGCCGGGGTGTGGGCACTTGTAGGGTCTGTCACCGGTGTGGATTCTGCACAGGATGTGGGTATGGTGGGAGGGGAACGTGTCAGGCAACGGCCCCAGCAAGGCTGGGAACCCACACAGCCCCAAACCCTGCAAAGCTCCCAGCACCCACGCGGCCACTGAGCTCAGCAGTGACAGCCATGTGCGCAGAAGGGACCCAGTGATGGGGCACAAGGGGAAGGAGACCCTGGGTTGAGACCCAGAAGAGCTGCGTGGGTTGGAGAGCACAGCTGGAGATGGCGAAGGATAAGAAGGTGGTGCTGAGTGAACACCCCACCCTATCCCATCCCATCCCACCCCACTCCACTGGAGACTCCCAACCCCACGCAGCCCCTCCTGGCACCTGGTGTGCTGCTGGAGGTGGGACAGCTGGCGGAAGGACTTCTCGCAGTAGGAGCAGTGGTAGGGCTTCACGCCCAGGTGGATGCGCAAGTGCTGGGCCAGGTAGGAGGCGTTGGCGAAGGATTTGGAGCAGTGGGGGCACTTGTGGGGTTTGGCCTCTGTGTGCGACTTGGAGTGGATCTGCATCTCCGACTTGGTGAAGAACGTCAAAGGGCAGACCTTACACCTGCAGGAGAGCCACGGGGGCCGGGCTGGGCAGGATGCCTCACTGCACCCCTCATCTCCACCCCCGTCCCCACAGCACCGCCGCAGCCCAGCTCCAACACCAGGCGCCCACCTACCTGTACGTCTTGCCCTCTTTGGCCGTCTCCCCCGAGGCCAGGATGGGGTAGGGAACCACGAGGACGGGTGGCCCCGAAGGGTTTTCCGCCTTGATCTTCTTGCGGCCCCGCTCCGTCTTGGGTGCCCCCAGCAAGCTGTGGCCCTGGATTGTCTTTATGGAGTCGAGGAGGGGCGGGCTGGTGATTCCTGAGATAAGGGTGGGCGAGGAGGCGATGAGGCGGCTCTGGCTGGTGGAGGTGGGTGTGGAAGGGGTGGTGGTGCCCGTGCTGGACTCGGAGGTGCTGACTGGGGGCGCGCGGGATGCCAGCCCCAACCCTGGCAGCAGAGACAGGCGGGTGTCAGCGGGGCACACGCTGCCCGCCCCGCGCCCTCCCCCCACACTCGAGTGGCCCTCAGGCAGCAGGAGCCAAAGCAGACCCCTCTGGGTCCCCCCCAGGCAGCACTGGTACCTGTGACGGTGCTGGTGGCCGGCCGAGCGTGCAGGGCCACGTCGGGCTGCGGGACCGCCTGCGGGTGGAGGCCTGGCACCTGCTGCAGCTTGGGGAGGGACATGATGGACTGGCTGCTTTCAGCAGGAGAGGGGGGCACCAGGAGGGGCTGCTGGGAGGCAACGGAGGTGGGGGGCAAGTGTGGGGGCCGGATCTTCTCTGCCATCAGCTGCTCTTTGATTTTGTTGATCAGGACGAGGTTGTCCAGCTGGCAGGGGTGGAGGCAGAGAGGTCAGAGGTGCCCTGTTCCATTGGTTCTCCCTCCTCCCCAAACACCCGTCTCACCTGGCTGGGCATGGTTGGGGGAGGCGGCCAGAAGTAGGGGTTGTTGAAGCGAGGCTCCGCCATCCTGCAGGGAGAGATGGGGGTTACGGGGGGCAGCAGCCCGGCAGCCCCCTCTGGCCTCCCCACAGGGCTTTGCAACAGTGCTCCCCATGGGAAGGAGCCCCCAGGGCCCACCACAGGGAAGAGCCACACCGACAGCAACACAGCAACCACCAGGAGATGCTTCCTAGAAAACCCTTCCAGAAGACGGAGCACAGAGGAGGAGAGCACAGCGGGGCAGCCGGCCCTTTGGGCAGCTCATATCCACACAGAGAGAACTGCTGCTGAAACCACAGCACCTGGCCAGGGCTCCCAATGGGTTCCCCCGGCCCTCACACCCGCAGGTCTCACTGCTGCTCCCCAGCACCTCGGGGAAGGCTGCAGGAGGACACGGAGCACGGCACAAGCACAGCAGCGACGCAAGGACCCCAAGGAGCCCCAGTAAGGGCACCTGCAGCAACCACAGGCGGCTCAGCTCGCTTCAGGACGAGCCCTGCTTGCAGCGGGGCTGGGAGATTTATGGAGACGCTAAATACTTTGGAAAAATGAATTCCAAAATCCATCTTTAGTTAATAGGAAACATCTGAGCAGGGATGGTGAGAAAATGATGGCAGCGGAGCAGCCCGACATCAGCAGGCAGTGCTGCTGCTCACATCACAGCCAGAGCTGGCAGGGCACGCTGAGGCACGAGCACTTCTGATTCCTCCCCACCCGACACCCAATGCCGATTCAGCCAGCACTGCCATCAGACACTGCACACATTATTTTGGCTGCACCACGAGCTGGGAGCAGGCGGGACCCCCGTGTCTGTGCACAGAGCAAGGAGGAAGGAGCTCCTCGGCACCTTCCCCAGCTCTGCGGGTGACAGAGCTGCAGGGAGATGACCTCCATTTGGAGCAGAAATTAGGCCATGGAGGGAGAAACCAGAACGGCACAGACCCATCCCCACCACAGCCGGCACCAGGAGAACCAGGCATGAGATCAGCACGGGTTCCCTGCAGAACACTGCTGCAAAGGAGGGCAGGGAGGCCGGGGACAGCGAGGCACAGAGCGGGACCTGCTGAGCCGCATGGCACGTGGGGACGAGACCGCGGAGCAGGAGGGCAGCGGCCACGTGGCAGCGGGTGGCGCTGAGCAGCTTGAGGTCCTGGGAGCGGCAGCCCTGCCCAGGGACCTGGAGCTGAGGGCAGGATGGGAGCTGCTGATTGAGAGCCTCAAGCAGGACCATCCCGGCCAGCACTGGGCTCTGGCAGCTCGGGGCACCCAGAGCAAGGCAGACTGCATTGCAGTTGCCCCAGGCGTCACTTCAGAGCGTCCCTTTCACTGGGGTCAGCTCTCTCATGAAAGCAGAGCCGTGCACAGAGCCACAGGGAACCCTGCCCTGCACCAGCCTGTGCCAGCAAACGCTGTCAGAGGTGACAGCTCACTGCTTACAACGCCTGTACCACAGTGTGGGACAAGCACAGCACTCTGACATCCCCAGGTCAGAGCTCTCCTGCCACTGCCAAGATGCCCAAACCCACCACATGGCCCTGAATCCCACCACCATCACAGCCTGCAGCTCACCACCATGGCTTGAATCCTACCATCATGGCCGGAATATTACCAACATCACGGCACAAACCCCACCGTCACAGTTCAAATCCCACCACCGTGGCCCAAGCTCCACCAGCACAGCCTGGATCCCACCATTATGGCCTGAGCTCTACCATCACAGCCAGAATCCCACCACCACAGCTTGAATCCTACCACCACAGCCCTGAATCCCACCGCCAGGTCCTGAGCCCAACCATCACAGCCCAAATCCTTGCACCATCACAGCCTGAACCCCACCACCATGGCCTGAATCCTAGCACTATGGCTTGAATCCCACCACCATGGCCCAAGCTCCACCATCACAGCCTGAATCCCGCCACCATGGCCTGAGTCCTGCCACCACGGCTCAGCCAGCGGCTGCCCTGCAGCGTGGGAAGCTGCAGCCCTCCTTCGATTCTTGCCTGGCCAGAGCAGGAAAACAGGAAGCCAGAGCTATGATTAGAAAAGGTTTTTGGAGCCAACCCAGCGAGCCGCTGCTCTGCCCTCACAGCAGGTGCCCCGTGCCCTCTGTCCCCCCCATCCCAGACCATGCAAAGCTCTGCCCGCCCCGTTTGCTCGAAGAAACGGAGGATCCCAGAACAGCCTGCAGCTGCCATGGAAGGGGGGGGAGCACGACCTGCTGCAGCCTCCCACTCCTGCCTCACCTGAGCAGTTCTTATTTAACAGCAAAGCTGCTGCAACCGCTGCGTGTGGAGCGCTGCAAACCTGCCCAGAATAAAGGGAAAAGAAACAGCGGTGGTGCCAAAAAAATCTCTGTTCCTGTCCCAGCTTAATTTCATAAATTGTGCTGTGTCTCATCTGGAGCATAGGGGGGATTGCTCCCCCCTCCCAGGGCTGAGCTCGGACGGCGGGGGGAGGGGGCCGGAGGGGATATAAAGCAGATGGAAAAATACATAAACTCCCTTTTTCTAGATTCTCAGCTAACTATGAAAAATGGAAGCTGACACACGGCAAAAAAAAAAAAGGAAAAGAAAAAAATCCATTAAAATGGAAATGATGAAGGGTGGGGAATGCTGCAGCACGTCTCCCCCCGGCTCTGCTGGGCACGGCGCCGTGTGTCGGGCAGCGGGACGGAGGAGCTGCTGCTGAGGCAAAGAAGGCGTCGTGGGCACTCAGCAGGGCTCCATCAGTGCGCACCGGAGCTCCCAGGCAGGGAAGGAAGCAGAGGGAGGTGGAAAGAGCAAGCAGCAGATGCACAGGGAAGGGAGAGGCGTCGTGGCAGAGCGAGGCCCGGCACCGCGTGGAGGGGAAGGAGTGCGCAGGCGGCTGCAGCAAGGCCGGCGGTGGCCCGGCACGGACAAGACATGGTGCACACCGTGTTCGGTACTCACAGGCTGGCCTCAGAAGCCAGATGGCCGCAGCTGCCTGGGGAGACGTGTCGATGAGGCTCCAGATTGATGGAGGTAGATGATGGCACGGGTGGGTACGAGCGCCAGGCCCCGCAGCTCACTATAGCCTTCCAACTTCCTACCAAACTGCCGCTAAGTCAAGCTACAGTTCTCTAGGGAACGTCTCTACTTTGGCAGCCCTCTCTGTCTCGCCTTCGCTGAAATAAAAAGAAACAAGAGATTCTTTTCACGGACACGGCACGGCACCGCCACGAGAAGGGTTTGCTCCCGGGAACCGGCGCCGCTTCGCCCCTCGGGGCCGGCGAGCGGCCACAGGGCTGCCTGGCACAGGTAGGGCAGCAAATGGGGCAGGGGGCGGCAAGGAGGGGATGGGGGTGAGCCGAGCGGCATGCCTGGGTACTGCGGGGCGCCAGCGGCCAAGCGAGAAGCCCGCCCTCCACCAGCACAGCCTCGCTCCCCCCAAGCAGGGTCCCCGGCTGACAAGCGTCCATCAGGAGCAAGCTGGGCACGGAGCAACAAGCGCAGGGCCGAGCCGGGTAGCAGCACCCAGTGCTGGGCAGCACGAGTCCACACAGCCTCAGACTGCAGCAGGCAAAAGCAAAGAGCCCAGTGTCCCCGGCCGTCCCCTCAGGGCGCCATCAGACCAGCAGGAGGGGACTTGGGGATGTGGCACCCGCACAGCCGTGCCCCCATCACCCCTCGTCCTGTTCCATTTGCAGCACTCCACCCGTTCTCATGTCGCCCAGCTCCGCCTGTACTCCACCACATTTTCCCCCAAAAGCACAAAACCTTCTCGCCCCATAAGCTCAGCCCTGCCAGGGGAAGGGGCTGCACCATCCCCACCTTCCCAGCACGCAGCCAGCACTGGTCGGAACCCATTGCACATCTCTGCGGGCTGCGTGCAAGCGGCCCCTGCCCAGAGGAGCAGCTTTTCAGGAGAAACCAAAGGCCCGACTGCAAAATCCCCAGCCCTGAGCTGCTGGGCTGGAAGCAGCATCAAAGCCACCCACGTGCCCGTGGGCTGCCATGCCGTGCCCAGGCGGGCTCCCCGTGCCGCAACGCGCCATCCTGCTGCCAGCTCCAGGGACCGTCCCGCGTGGGCCCTGCGCCCGCAGCCCCCGGCCCAGCTTTTCTTCAGCAGGAAGAATTTACCCTAAGGCAGAAGACAGCATAAGGAACGTAAGCCAGGGAAGCAGAAACAACACATGAAACCCGGGGCAGGAGGCTCAGAAATCCCCGTTCCTCTGGCTTGGAGGCATCGTGTGCCAGAAGAATTCACCCAAGATGGAACCAATTAAACCCCACGTTTCCGCCCCCCGAAGGGCTCTGACTGGCGTTTCTCATTCAGATTTCCTTCCCCAAGCAAAATCAACTGAAAGCCAACAGCGGCTGGAGCAGAAAGCCCATCCCAGCAGGGCCGGGGCTGCGGGACGGGGCCCCAAGGGGTGTGAGGAGCCGTGTGTGCTCTCACCCCATAGGTCTGCACTGGGAACAGAGTCAGAGCCCCACATTCTGCCTGCAGGGCCCCAAATCCCCGAGGAGCCCACACTGCACGAGGAGAGAGCGGAATCCTAAATGGAGGAATGCGGGGCCCGAGGGTTGCACTGCTGCCCAGGGTGAGGAACCCAGCCTGGGGGGCTTCTGCAGCTGCCCTGCAAGCAGTGGGGAGAAGGAAGCGGTGCAAAGAGGATGGGCAGAGCGGGTGTGGAAGGAGCAATGAAGGGAACCCACTTCCCTCGGAGCCACCCTGGAGACCGAAACAGGGAGCAGGCAGGACGGGACACCCAGCTCACAGCCCCTGGAGGCGGGGGCAGAGCTGTGCCCTACGGAAGCCAGCCAGAGACACCAAAGCCGCACTGCTGGAACCAGCAGCGCCCACCCAGCCAGGCAGAGGGATGAGTAGCACAGTGCAGGCCTGGCTGTGACATCGCACTGGGGACAGCGGGCACCGAACCCCGGCACCCCGCAATGCCACACTGCCACCCGGCACACACACGGCAAAGCGGAGCCGGCAGTGACGCTCAGAGCCGGGCGCCGTGACAGCAGGGACAGCGCAGCGGCGAAGCAGAGCTTTGCCCCAAGGCCAGACAAGGAGGCAGCAAGCGGTTCCCAACCCCAACCCCGCTGCCCCGACCCCACACACGCATGCACTTGTCACAAGGCACGGCCAGCCGCCGCTCTCCGGGGGAGAAGGGGATTCCTGAGGGAGATCGGATTGCTCCGCACAGAGAAGCGCACGGACTGCCAGCCCTGGGAGAGGAGACGGGGATCGCGCTCATGCTGCGAGCGGGACCCCAACAAACCCAGGCTGGGTCCAGCATCCCTCCCCACGCCCCCAGGCAGGTACCCGGCTGGCAGCCCCCCGGGGGCCCTGCTGCCCAACGCTCCCAGCTTCAGCGCGGTTCGTTCCCCTCGAGAGCGCTGGCATGCCCACCTCTGAGAGTACTGGCGTTGCTTCCCCTTATCCGCGTCCATCTCCAGATCTAGCTGGGAACCGGTGCCGCACGCGGGGCGTTTCTCTACGGGGGGACAAGGAGGACAACTTCACACACCCCAAAAAACACAACACGCGGAGGAACAAAAGCGGAGCGGCTCCCAACGACCCGACCCGTGGGAACGTAGGGCTTTTTCCTGAAAGCAGACAAAAAGAAAAGCTGTGTTTTCATCCCTGGGCGCCCTGATCCAGGGTGCCCGCAGGGCCTGTACCCATCCATCCATCCATCCGTCCGTCCATCTGCCCTGCAGGCCGCACGCCAGGAGGGGGCCCAAAACTTTTCCCTCTCCTCTCCGATCCCATTTCCGTCCCCAAAGGCTCCGGGCTGGGAGCGCTGCCCATCCCGCTGTCCCCACGCACAGCATCCCACGGTGCGGAAGGGAGGAAAAGGGCCGAGGGACGGATCCAGGGCCAAACCGCAGCTCGCCGCCGGCGCAGCCGGGCATGATGGATGTATAAATAGGGGTGTGAGCATCCCCACGCTATGGCACGGCCAAACCGATGCGTGCAGGAGGACATTGAGCTCCCCGGGCACCGCCGCTGTCGGAAATGTCCCCTCACTAAAGCGGCGACTTCCACATTCCTGCTAAAGCGCGATGCAAGATACATCCCCTCCCCCCCCCCCCCCCCAACCGGCTCTGTTAGACCGAAAAAAATACGGTTAACGGGGAGGGGATGGAATGAAGGGAAAAAGGAGGGGAGCAGGGGGGTGGGGTGGATAAATAAATAAAGCACAGCAACCCCCCATCACACATCACAGCACCGCCACCGTGCAGATTGAAAGACCCGGAAAAAAAAAAAAAAAAAAAAAAAAAAAAAGAAAAAAA